CCGTCTCCGCCTCTCCCCCTCCCGCCCGCAGGCCGCGCGGATTAACCCTCCTGCTGCCGCGCCGCGCCGCGTGCAGGGTGGGCAGAGAGCCGCGGGGGACGAGGGGCCGGGAAGTTCCCCCGCGTTGTGATGGTGGGCCTCCCTATTTCCTTCGCCTCAACAACACGGACACTCAGGGTCGCCTCAATCTGTTTCTGAGATTTTGAGTCACCCAACCCTTTGGGTCCCCAACTCTTCCATGCCCTTTGGGCCTCCCTCTGAGGGTTCAGGGACAGGAGACCCCACACCATCTGGGGATTATGCCAACAAATTGATGCACGATTTCATTCTGGCCCAACTAGATGCATCCTCCCCGAAGACCAAACGAAACCCAAACCCACCATGCTGGAGTCTGTAGGACGGAGCCGAACTACCCCTAGGGCTTCTCTCTAAAGCAACCCAATTTATCTCCGAAGAAATAAGTCGCCCATCACTGGGTTTTTACGGGTTTCCACTCTATGGGCCCTCACCACTCATAAGCTGCTGACCCCCTGCTGCTCGCTGCGTTCAGGTCACCTTGCTCCTGGCCCTGTGTTCCTGCCCCAGGGCCTTGGCACCTGTCCTGTCTGCCCTGAGTGCTTTTCACAATGATTCACTTGTTCCCAGTGGAGTCCCACGTGGCACCCAGGTCTCCTTCTCTGGGAGGCATTCCTAACCCATCAGAGATGAGAGGAGTCCTGGTGGCACAGTGGCTTAAGTGCTTGGCTGCTGATGGAAGGTTGGCAGTTCAAATCCATCAGCAGTCTCCACGGGAGGGAGTTGTGGCAGTCTGCTGCATACAGACCACAGCCTTGAAAACATAATGGGGACCGTTGGACTCCGTCCTATAGGGGCACCTGGTTAGACTTGACTGAACGCCCTTGGGTTGGGTTTGGGGTTATCTAACACAAGTAGCCTCTGCCGCCCCATCTCTCACTCCATCCTGTTCCTGTCTTATCACGTTATGATTTCCTCCTTACACGCTGGGACCCCACCCTCGCCTAGCTTCTCTCCAGCCTCGCTAGCTGGTTCTTCTCCGTTCTCCTCTGCCCAACCTCTGCAGCTCCCGAGGACTGAGTCCTTGGCCCCTTCTCTTTCCACGCAGTCTAATGATCTCATCCAGTCGCGGAGCTTAAATACTATGTAAATGTCAGGGAGTCCTAAATTTATATCTCCAGACTCATTTATCCAACAGCCCACTTGACATCTCCACTTGGATGTCATGCAAAGCAAATGTGGCCAAACCAGATGTCTTCATCCTCCCAGCCCCAGCCCATTCCTCAGTGCTCCCCGTCCCAGAGCATGGCACCTGCGAGTTGTTGGGGGTAAAAACTTAGGAACCGTCCTTCCTCCTTAACCCTTCTTTCCCTGGCCCCCTTCCTATGTGGAATCCATGAGCAAGTCCTGTGTGCTCCGCCTGCGAAATCTATCGACTTTGCCCCGTCTGTATCAGTCTTGATCGCTTGGTTCATGCCATCATCTCCCATCTGGAGTTGTTCAAGAGCTTTCCAATCGGTCCCTTGCTTCTGCCCTTGTCCTTTGCAAGAGAGTCTTCACAATGCTCAGTGATGTTTTAAAAGCCCAAATCATATCATTCTCTCCTCCGCTTAAAACTTTCCAGAGGCTCCTCATTGTGTTTGGAATAAAGCTAAACTCCTTTTAAAGAAAGGCCCACCATCTTGTACTCCCTGCTCATAAACAATGCTGGGGATGGGGGGGAGTAAGCCAGAGAGAACTGATGGTAATTACACAACTCATTTCAAAGGCAACCTAACCGTGGGGGGCGGGGGTGTTCTAAAATAGATTGTGGCAATGATTATACAATTCTTCTTGATGTGATTAAACGACTGAACTACTGAATTGTATGATATGTGGATGAAATAAAAATGTAACTAAGTAAAAATGAATGACTCACACACACACACAATGCTCCAGAGGAGACTTGTAGTAATACCCAGTCCCAGTGACCCCGTGGTGTTTCGAGTAGAACAACTGCCCTCCCTAAGTTTTCATGGCTGTGACCTGCCAAAGCATATGATAAGCCTTTCTGAGGTCCTGAATGAGCTGGTCAGCCAGAAGGGTTGGTAACCCTTTGTGACCCCCAGTGACTCCTTGCTGTTGCACAACGTCCGAAATTATTCCCTTGGCACCCCTGCACTTCTGGAAATGCATCCCTCCCTTTTCCATCTCCACTTGGTTGGCTCCTTCTGTCATTCAGATCTCTGCTCAAAATCTAAACGCCTTTGGTAGCAACTATACAATACTGCTTGGTGTGATTAAACTAGGGAAGGGCATGATGTCTGGATTAGCGCCTAAGAAAATAGTATTTTAGGGGAAAAAAAACCCTAAGCCAAAACCAAACTCACTGCTATTGCGTCAATTCCAACTCACAGTGACCCTATAGGACAGTGGGTCTCAACCTTCCTCATGCCTCAACCCTTTAATACAGGCCCTTATGTTGTGGTGACCCCCAACCATAAAATTATTTTCATTGCTACTTCATAACTAATTGTGCTATGTTATGAATCATAATGTAAATATCTGATACGTAGGATGTATTTTCATTGTTACAAATTGAACATAATTAATACACAGTGAT